TATATAACTGCCAAACTGATCACAGGAGTCAGGACTGGAAAGAATGATAGGTCCTTGTGTGATTAGGCACAACAGGTGAGGTTCATTCCTGCCAGAGGCCTGGTTGGTCTTCTGCCCCTGAGACTCTAGGGAACCACTTGCACCAGAATCCAGCTTAGAGGTCACCTCTATGACTCCATCCTGAACAATTCCAGACCTATCTGGTTGTTCCCCCCAACACTCTAGGATGACAGGGTAGATACAGGTAAAGCTCTCACACTCCAGAGTCATTCAGATAGAGTTCATAATCCTGGTTCAGTCTCATAGCACTCATGTGACTCTGAGTGTGTGTGGCTAAGTTTCCACACCTATAATATGGAGGTTGAAAACAGTGCTGTTCACAGGAAGGTACTGTGAAAATTAAATGAATTCTATGTATGTTTAAACATAGCTGAACATCTGGTAGTAGTCAAAGGTAGAAACAACCAAAGAGTAACTTACATGGCCAGATATATGAGGTATCAAAAAAAGCCTAATTCATAGAGTCGTTAACAGAAAGTAGAATGCAGGCAGCCATGGCCCAAGGAAAAGGATCAAACTGCAGTTAGTGTGTAAGAGTGCAGAGGGTCAGTCTGTGAGAGGAGAATGGTTTTGTAGCTGTTGTGATGATGCGTGAATAGCAGTGTGAGTGCACTTAACATCACTGAGCTGTACACTCAAAGGTGATGAAGATGAAAAATTTTGTGTTATAAATATCCTGTCAAGACTTGAAATATAAATATTTTTATAAGTGACTGGCATTTAATAATGCCATGAGTATGCAGCTATGAATAGCAGCACAAGGTCTATGACCAAATCACGCATCCTGCATCTCTAGGTTGAAGATAGCCTAGGAAATGAGCACCCATAAAGGGCAAGAGGAGGATAAACCTGAAGTGATAGATAATGGTAAGAGGGATGGAGGGCAAAGCAGTGAGAAGTGCCCATAAGGAAAGGTAGAGGGAGATTAAACCTGCCCCCATGAGCCAGGAGATAGTTCCGTCATGGGACAGATAGAGAGCAGGCAGCACAGGAAGGCTGGCCAGTGTCTCCCTCCTCAGGCCATAGTGTGAGCCCTGATCAACCACTGCAGCCTCCACAAGTCTTCCCACCCTAGTGTCCTGGAGGCTGCTGTCAACAGGGATGGTGCATACTGGAGCTTCAGGTGAGGAAAATGAGTTACAAGCTCTGAAAACAATGTGTCACCCAGCTCTTCAGGTCCTAAAGATCACCTGGAGAAGGGCTGAGGTACGCAGGTGAGTACAGAATGGCCCCTTGGATCAAGCTGCATTCTGTGAGACTAATTAGGTCATCATCCATTGGGACAGCTCCACCTGTCCATCTGCAGAGGAAGGCATTGCCTCCATTCTTGGGCATTCATACTGGGGGAAAAAACACCCAGCAGGAGGTTGGTGTCCATCTTGCATACAGTCATGATTTCTTTTCTTGTTCCTGTCACACCTATGGTTTGTTGAATAGTATGGGAATGGCATGGATGAAGCAATGGGCTCTAGACAAGCAGACCTGGAGAGAAGGAACAAAGCCAGGGCTGCTCACACATAACACAAAAAGAACATGACTGAGGCTGGCAGCTAGCCTACTTTATGGTTCATACCTAGACATCACCCATGGGCTTCATGCACGCAGAAACAGTGCTTCTGGAATTAGGCTATAGTGTGGGCTGACATAGGCGACTTCTTGTTAGAAAATGGGGTGCAGTCAGAAGGGTCCAGCCACTGGGAAGTGATGCTGAAGGGTGGATTTTGCTTGCAACTCTTCCCTTCTCTGTCTACTTCCTGGCTGCCTTGGATTTCCTCTACCAGAGCCCTGGGCCAGGCTGCATCTCTCCTGGGAGCCATCAAACTATGGACTAAACATGTGTACCAAAGTGAATATCTCCTCTTTTAAGGTCTGGGTATCAAGTATTTTGTCCCAGTAGTGGGAAAATGACTAAGACAGATTTTGGTTCCAGAGAAGTAGAATTACTGCTTTGACTTGACGTGATGTGTGGTTCAGAAGCCTTTGTAAGTGGTTCACTGGAGGAGTTTGGAAAGGTTTGGAGATGCTGGAGAAAGAAGTATTCCTAAGTACATGGGAATGAAGCTCAGTGTTGAGGTGTTGTCTAGCCCTTGTTGAGGTACTGAGTTCAATTGCTAGCACTACAAAAGAAGGGAAGGAAAAAAAAGAGAAGTAACCCTAAATGGGTACAAGATAAATCTCACAGTTTTAGCAAGATTTACACTGAGAAACATGAGCAAAAACTCATATGACAAGTCTTTGGCTATATCACAAAGGAAATAGTGTGCAAAGCTGTAGCAGAGAAAAGCTTGGTTATTGAAAAGATAAGCATTAAAAGACTCCAAGTACTTCTCCTCATGACAGTAAGATTTGAGAGTATGTGAAGAATCTGTAAGACCCCGACTCTTGAAGGCTAAGAACTACAAAAGTAAAAGACTTCATTTAAGAACACCTTCTCAAGACACCCTACACAAGAAAGCCAAAGAAAGTCACTTAGGCAATTAATTCTTCAGGATTCAGTTCATAGTGCTGTCATCAGACACTAAGAGCTTCGTGGTGCCATGAACCTTTAAGGAGATCTGGCAAGTACTAGAGCTGGCACTGGGTCGTGGTGTCAGCTACATGGTACTGGTTTTACAAGCATGCAGAATGTAAGAGTTATAAGGTCGTGAAGTCTTCCACCCAAATTTCAGAAAAAGGCCTAGGAAGTAAGACAGTGTGCCCTGAAAGGGCAGTGTGTGAAGTTGTGAGACTGAAGCCAAACATGTTGATAGATACCAGGAAGTTGGAGTTGCCAGGAACATGAGATATTAGCTGAGGAAAGCATCAGGCAGTGAACAAAGCCACTGTGAGAGAGAAGCCCTTGAGGCTTCCACAGGAGATGCCATAGGGCATCAGTGCATGATGTGATGGGAGCAGGGCCACACAAGACTTTTGGAGTTCCAGTGTCACAATAGTCATGTCAATCGTTGGATAGTATAGAGGACATACTTCCTTTTCTAGACCAAAATGCACCCTGGGGATGATGTCTGCTAGGTTTCTATACTAGCTACTGTTTTCTTAATAAGGACAAAGAATGAGAATTAAATCTGTTTCCTCCGTTTCACTACCATAAAACTGTATATACCACCTGGAGTTAGAATAGCCATTTTGTGACTGTGAGGAAAGCCTACATTAATCACCAAGATACAAACTCTGTTGTCATCGAGTCACTAAACCAATATTTGTCTATTATAAGAGTCATTAACAGGGAAAAAACAGTGAAGGCATTCAAGATACACTCTGTATTACATTCCTATAGCAGGAAAGCTAGTCAGTATCCTAGGAAGGATAACAGTTCCTTGAATTACTAGACACCAGGAACCATAACACACAAGTCTGCCTTGCCTCCCTCTAAACAGAAACCACAGTGGGACTTTCTTCTCCCCACCCAATAGTTTCATCAACATATTACAGATGCTGCTAGTATTAAGGATGAATCAACACACTTTATTTTAACATGTGTCAAGAGTACAGTTTATTTTCATGTGGACACAGGCAGGTCCAAAGCTCATTCTCCAGTCGGCCTGTCCAAAATTAATATAACAGAAGCTTCCAGCAGCCCTGGAGATTTCCTCACAGCCTTCCACCCTCCCCTGCAAGGCAGCCAACCTCTGCATACCAGCTGCCACAGGTGCCAGTCCCTGGCTTTGTAGCTCTGTGCCTTTTGCCCATGGTTAGGTGGACTCACTTTCCATGGGAGGCCCTTCACCTGGAAGGAGGGCCACACTTGCCATTTGTTTTCCTTGACAGTCACTCCCCTGGGCAGTGCCTGTGTGGAACCTTGTAATATCCAGTCCATGTCTGGCTGCATCCACAGCAACTTCATGTGTCCATAAAATTCCCACCTACACCTCATTTCTGCCACTTTCTCTCCCTGTTCCTGGACCTGGGTTCTCAGGGTCACCATGGCTGCCACCCATACTTTCTCTGCCTGGTGTCCACTCTACTACAGGTTATGTGGAGTCACGCTGTGCAATGCCTCTCTAGATAAGTCTAGAGTAGTCTGCTGGGACTGGTACAAAAGCTGGGGTCTTTATGGTGAAACGTGAGATGGGAAGGAAAGAAGGCAGTTGGGGTGCAGGAGCTGGACCAATCCTGTGCCAGCAGAGCTGCTGGTGAGGGAACCCCCTGACCAACCAAGCCCTGGACATGTGGTACACAGGATGGGCCAGGAGTCAAGACACATCACTTCTTACTCCAACCCTGTCTGTCTCTCTGAAAGTCATCTGGCTTGCTTCCTGGGCTATCAAATCTTGGAGCGGCCATGGTAATTCTGAAAATCTCTTCAGGTTTTGACACCCTGAAAATTTAATGCCAGTATATCAATTTGTGCAAAATCTTCTACTTCTTCAAGCACTTTTACATCTATGATTTCTTGCTCCTAAAATTTTCCTGTAAATGATTAGATGAGACCCTCTTTTTCCTACCCATGCATAAGAAGCATGAGGTCCAGACAAGTGGCAGGGCTGGGATGAGAATCCTGGTTCTGTGACTCTTCTGAGAGTGTCTGAGTCTAGCTCAGCAGGGTGGACTCCACACAGAGGTGCAGTTTGAGGGGAAAGGGGAAGCTGCTGACAGGTACACAGGGAAGAAATCAAGTCAGCTCAGAGAAAGGGCTTCTTCCTCCAAATGTTCTGCCTAGGAGAAAGGGAACCAGGGCACCTTTGGACAATTCGCCTCCCTGAAGAACAGCTTTCTGCATTGTGTTCCAATCAAGAGAGGCCATTCTGACTTATACTAAGGCACCTGTGTGCTAGGCCATAGTCCTGACTCCTAGGCAGGACTCTCTTGGCTCTGAAACCAAAAGTATAGGGTTAGAGCAGACTTGGCACATGATAGAGAGGTCATCTAGGTAAATATGAATTGTAAATGAACAACAAAGAATATTTGGGAGAATATCCCACACAGTTTGGAAGACACACTTATCTTTTTAAAATGTTATTTTATTAATTCAAAGTTCAATTAACTGATTGTCTTGTAGTTTTGTTTGCCAAATGACCAGCCCTTATCTTAGGTTCTATATGTAATAATGGTAAGATTTTTAGGAGTTTATGATACAGAAATGAAAACACTGGTAACTTGAAATCAACCATGTTGGGAGCATTTGCACTGAGGAAATATGTGTCACTGAAAAATGGGCTTTTCTCTTCTTAGAGCTGGGTTTTTTTTTTCTTTCTTTCTTTCTTTCTTTCTTTCTTTCTTTCTATCTTTCTTTCTTTCTTTCTTTTTTTCTTTTTCCTGAGTGATTACTTCAGAATTAGAGCTGTTTTTAAACACTCCCCAATACACCACTGTCAAAAGGCCTCTGCCTTTGGCTTTGCCTCCCTGAGTGAAAACTGAGACCGTGACTTGGGGGCTCCAGAGTTGCACAGGAATCAGAGAGCTCAGGGTACTAGAAGGGGATATCCTACTAGTAGGATCTGAAGAGACGGTATATTGGAATTTCTAAACAAGGGTGTTATGATCTCTACTTGAGAGGGAGAAAGGTGAGTGTTGAAAGCAGAGGCCACTAGATATTACCCAATTCTAACTCCTCTCATCTTGGCTCAGGGCCTGGGACACTTGGCTGATTCTTTGGCTCAGGGCCCAGGCCGCTTTCGGGCCACAATGAAGCACATCCCCTGGTTGGGAGCATGAGTGGCAGAGTAGCTCCGGGTACTGTACAGGAACTCCTCGATGTCAAAGCCAGCATCCAGGATAGCCTGCTCCACTTCCTCCTTGGCCATGGCCACGCAGGAGAACTCATGCTTCCTTACCATATAAGAGGAGATGTGCAATGTGACAGTGGTCACCAGATGGCCATGAGGCTTAAGTAGAGCAGCAAGGTTGCACAGCGCAGCTCGGTAGGCAGCCGGGGTTTTGCAGGCACACTCCATGGCCAGCATGGTGAGCACACAGTCCGCAGGTGGCATCTTCACCGGGGCCAGTGGGTTGCTCATGCGCACATCACACTTGAGCACCCTCTTCACTGTGGCCCGGAGCTTCTCCGCCTTTTGCTGCCAGTGGCTGCTGTGGGGAGACCACAGAGCTCAGAGGCCACATGTGGAAATGCCAGGAAGCCCCACCTGAGTGAACAGCAGATGAGAAACCTCTGCATCCCACAGGGTTACTGTCACTGGGTACCTCTGTGACCTGAGAGTAGGCTCTTCATCAGCCTCTCTCTCCCCAGCAGGAAAAGGTCAGGGAGAGTGGACCACAACAAGGAACCTCCTCCTTTCTAATTCTATTTGAGCCCCTTTCATTTGTTCTCCCTGAGGAACAAACAGCACTAAGTGTGCTCAGGACCTCACCAACATCGTTGAATAGAAAGATAAATGAGAGAATTTGCTACTGATAATACATACATGTGGCTATATTAAAAATGTAATGTTGCGTGATGAATAGCAAGTCCTAGAAGATAACAGAGCAAATTTCTCTGTAAGGATGTTCAAAGGTACTGATTCCACAAGCACAGACACACAGCAAAAAAAAAAAATTTAAGAAAGCAGAGGAATGAGAAATACATAATTCATGTTAGCGATTTTATCAGGTCAGGGAGGTAGGGAGCAGGGAACACAAGAGAAGCACAGGTGAGTGTTCTTTGATCTGGGTGTCAGGTTGAGTGATGAGTGCATGTTTCATATTCTTACAACAGGCAGAGATGAAAAGGAGGAAGGGAAAGAGGGAGGGAGGGAGGAATGCAGGAAAGGAAGAAGAATGGAAGAAAATGAAGGAAGGGATGGCAGAAAGAAAAGGAAGGGAGGGAAACAAAACGAAGGATAAAAAGGAGAAAGGGAGGAAGGATAGGTCCTGTCATCTGGGCTTCATGAGCCATACCTGGCTATGCCATGGCCTTGCACCATACTGATCCCAAGTGAGTCTGTCTACTGTGTCCCCACTTCAAGATGTCTGATGCATCTTTGAGGATCCTGTTGTCCAGGAAATGTCAGGGACAACTGAGAGACCAGAGAGCCTGCTGAGGAAGAAGGGGGTGATTCAGCCCCCAGAGGGTGCCCAAGCCCTGCCCCTTACCTGTTCCCTTCCAGCTCACAGGCTAATTTCAGCACTGGCGTCCAGTCAAAGGCCTCCGGATCCTTGCTCAGCCATTTCTGCAGCTCCTCCCTATTGCGGTCCACGAAGTCAGACAGGGTGATGTCACTGAAGGCCTCACAGGCAGCCAGTACTTGGTAGATGGTAGGGCCCGAACCTACATCAATCAGTGTTTCTCCTCGGAGGCCCCCTGTGACAGTGTGAGATCACTGAGATTTGTGCAAGCAGGCAAAAGAAATGAGATCCAAGACAGTCTGAGAGGCGAGAAGGACATGAACGCTGCTTTCACCCAAGGAGGCACAGCTACAAGTGTGATGGCCATCGTGCCTGGTTTCCTGCAGACCAAGCCCCTGCTCAGTATCCTATTTTCACAACCTAGAAATGCCCTGTAGGGTCATTATTCTTGTTATTTCCATGTTGTGGGTTAGGAATCCCAGTCTGGGAAACGTTCAACAATTAGCTCAATGTCTTCCAGCCAAGAAATAAGCACTCATCTTTCCTGGACAGAGAGCAGACCCATGCTACAGCCTTCTGGTACCACACAGGGCAGTAGCACTTTCCCCTCCCTTTCTTCCCTCCTTCCCTTCTGTCAGTGGCCTTTCAACTCTAGGCAACCTGAGCCTGGAGCTCCCTTGGCTATCCTGCCTGGATGGACTCCAGCAGGGGCTTGGGGAAGAGGACCTGGGAAGATCCAAGGGTGAGCCAAGGGTCACCTGAGTGAAAGAATGAAGCTTGTATTATAGCACTGCATCAGGGCCATGGCTGCTCTCTGATTCTGCTGTCCCTCCTGCTCATTCACCAAGCTCACAGCCTTTCAGCACTCTCTTACTCCAGGTCTGTGTTCCTCAATCCAGGATCCCCAGTGAGGATATGACTGCCCAACCCAGGAGTACAAAAACCATCCCTGGTCCCTGTAAGCAGGTGATTATCATCAGTCCACTACAGATGGTTCAGCCTCAGCCCCCGGTGCTGAGGAACGAGCCAGCAGGTTGTGTCAGGGCTGACACTCTACCCAGCATCCTCATACCCTGCTCTTCCAGGCCCTCCTATTCATGATATCCAAGATACACCGTCCAAATACCAGAAATACTTCATACCTAGAGATTCTAAACCCACCCCAATCTCACTACTTGCCCTTGGCTTTCTCTCACCTCAGAACAAGATTGTACTTGTTGATGATCAGAAAGTCACTCTCATTTGGCCCAAGTACCCAGGGGCTTATGGAGAGTAGTTTTGAAACTGTGTGATGTTTACAATTCCCCTGCACAACCTGACCCCTGGACTACACACAGTTCCAAGGTAATGAGGAAAGAAAAAAATCCCAAAGTCACTGGAGAGGTCCTGGCTCGTCCAAAACATCATTTATCTGCAGGGCCCCTGGAAAGAGTCTTAGGGTAGGGAGGAATCATCTCTGCTCACCTGGGCCAAAGGTCTTGTGGAGACACTGCAGATGAAACTTGACCATCTCAGTCTCAGCTGAGGGGCCATGCTCAAAGCTGTAGAAATCAGCCAGGTAGTCTCTGGGTATGAAGTACTTCTGGTATTCTTCCGGATCATTGAAGTTACCCTCCATGGTGACCTAAGTTTATTCTCCTGCCTGACTGCTCTGTCTTATAAAGGTTCAGAGCTCCTGACTCCACCCCCAGGAATTCAAATCCTCCCCTGCTCCTCCCATGCTGGCCTGACATTGAGGGCCCAGTTCTGGGAAGAGCAGAAGGGATATGGATTCCCTTATCCTGCTACCATAGAGACACACCTTACCCAAAGCTCCTCCAAAACCAGCCCTATGATGGCCACTGCAATGCTGTGAGTCTCCTTGCTCTAGGGACTGGCCCACATCCAGCTTAGGCAACTGGTGGTGCCTAGCTCTGATAGCTGCATATGATCCCAGGCAGATGTTAGAATTTCCCCAGCTGCATGCATGCTCACACCTGTGTCTCTGAGGACCAAAGTCACTTCCTGGGTCACACATATAGTGGGTCTGAGTTCACAGGGAGGTCCCCATCATTCCCTGGTGGTCAGCAGGGCCAAGTGACTCTCCTCAGTCCAAGCAGTGGGCATAGCTCCATGGACCCTGTCTTGCTGGAGATAAGAGTTCAGATTCGGGAGCAAGGATGCAGAGAAAAGCTCAGCCTCCATTTTTGCCACCAAAAATAGCTCTAATTAGACCAGACAGAAATGTGTCTGCCACTCTGCATATTCAGGTTTGCTGCCAGAGTAGTGGTGGGACAAGACTGCTCAGCACTAGCTTCAAGTAAACAGACAGTTCTGACTACCTAGACACCAGCAGCCTACAGCCTTCACAGTGACAGGGTCACTCAGGCATCACTTGCCTGGCTTCAAGCAAGAAGGAATCCACAGTGTTCAATTACCAAAGTCAAGTGGTTTCCCCTCCCCCTTCCTTCTTAACCTCCTACCTCCCTCCCTTCCTTCCTCTCTCTCTCTTCTTTTCTCCATCCACTCTCCTTTCTTCTTTTCTTTGTCTCTATCTTTGTCTCACTCTCTCTTTCCCTCTCTCTGTCTCTCTTTCTCTTTGTGTCTGTCTCTCTCTTTCTCTTTCTTTCCTCTTTCTCTCTGTCTCTGCCTTTCTGTCTCTCCCTCTCTCTCTCTCTCTCTCTCTCTCTCTCTCCCTCTCCCTCTAGCTCTCTCTTTCTTTCTTTTATTTGTGGCAGTGTCCTTCTGTATAACACAAGATGGCCTTAAACACAATATGGTTAGTCTACCTGAGTACTGGGAATATTGAGTACCTCCTGTGCAACAAAAGAGTGTTTAATAAAGGGACAGAAAAGGTGCTGGTAAACACTCAAGGAAGTCACAAGGTATTTGCATCAGTCAGATTTTTCCTGAGAAGCAAAACCATGAAAGAAGGTTTCTTTTAAGGAATGGCTCACAAGATTATGAAGGCTGTCAAACCTGCCTAATGGCTTGCACACTAGAGGCCCAGAGTACAGCCAATGGTAAGGTTCAGGATAATGACCATCTGTGCAGAATTCCCTTCTGTGTGGGAAGACTCGCTTTGGGCAGACTATCCTAGGGCTGTGAGATGTGTTCTTTAGCTCTGTTCAGACCTTCACCTGGTTGGATGAAGCCCACACATTTTAGGGAAGGTATCTGCTTTATTTGAAGTCTGCTCATTCAAATGATATCTCTTCAAAAGCAGCTGGAGAAAGACCGCAAAAGGCAAAGCATCCCACTTGTATATAGAATTGAACAGTGCATATGACTGTACCACCTAGGGGACATCCAGAGCTCATAAAGTGCATGGGGGCACCTAGGGGTCTGCACAGGTGAGGAGGAAATCAGGATGATGCACTCTGCTGAGAGGACATCCTTGGAAGAACAGGGGACATTTGCCCCAACTCAAAGCCTGCAGCACCTTTTACTACCCAGAGGAATAAACCCAAGTTCCTCCTCTGGACTCTAGACTCCAGCTATACCCTGCCTTCTTCACCCACCCTCATCTCCTTCCCCATCCAAGTCCACACCTGAGTCTGGTCTAACCAGAGGCCTTTCACAGCACTACAATAATATGCTCAAAGCAAGTCTCTTGAAGATAAATTCTAAGAAAAATTCTAAGAAAATAAATTCTCTTGAAGATAAAAGCTTCAGGACCACTAATGCATTGGACCAGATCATTCTTTGTTGGGATGGGAATCCTTAAGACTTCATTGTAGGGTTTTTAGCAACCCCGACATCTATCCATTAACTGCCACTGGATCCCAGTTCACACCTGGGGCAACCCAAAATATCTCAGGCATTGCCAGATGTCCCGGGGTGGCAAAATTCCCAACAAGCTAGAAGCACTGTCCTATTGTTTGCCTTCATCAAACTGGCAACATTCTGTTCACACCAGAGCAGCATCTGTCCATTTGAAGAGTGTGTATATAATTTGAGGCATCTTTCTACAATGGGATTGCTTAATATCTCAGAGAAATTTCTATCTGAAGGGACTTCTCCCATTGTTTTCAACAAATGAAAGTATCAAGCCAGCTATCTAGAAAATGTGGCACTTGAAAAGTCAGATATAAAAAAAATCAGTGTCCCACTCTAGGAAGATTAATTTGAGCAAATAATTGTCACATTATTTCCCCCCAAAGAATACAATATTTTGAATTTTCATTTTTTAGGATAAACATTTGTGTAATTTTTTTTCTAGTGAAATGTGATATTCTACAATCATCTTAGCCTATCACACTCTGTGGAACCTCTGCTATCTTTGTGAGATAAAGAAACCAGCCCAAAAGAGAGAGGCTGAAAATACAGACAACACAAACTTTACATATGAACTCTGATGACTTGCCAAACCCAAAAGCCAACAGAAAGCCTCATGCATTTTATAAGTTAACTCAGACCCTGTCATCTCTGCAGAGTTATGAAGTACCTGGGATCAGAAAAGTTTCTAGACCAAGACAGAAAAAATTTACAGAGGAACAATAACAAATTTATCTTATCCTATCATAATGTATCATATTTCATTAGCAAAAATTAAGCAAATGTTTTTCCTAAAAAATGAAAAGACAAGAAAATTGTTTTCCTTTGGGGAAAAATTTGCCAATTATTTTCTAAAATTAGTTACAGGAAAACTTTTCAAACTTCAGCCCAGTAATCTCATGTACTATATTGGTATCCAATCTGAAGCCAAAATCCAAAATATAACAACAACAACAAAAACCACATCCACCACAAAATCAATCACATTTTTTGCAATAAAGGAAATCTGTGAGCCTTTTACAGCTAATACTAGGTGAAAAGTTAAGTCAACCTTCCTCCAGCAGCCACCCAGGATTGCCATTTGCAGAGCCTGTGCACGCTGTGGAGAGGTGATGCTGACTCGGCAGGCAGATGTGGGCACACATGGTGAGATGCAACGTGCCTTTACAGTTCCCAGGTGCAAGTGCCCAGCAGTGGATGCAACATAAGAAACCCCCAAAAGATGCCACACACTCAGTATCAGCAGCCATTTTCATCCACTATAATTGATGTTTATTGAACCCCAACATGAAATTCATTTTTAATAAATTGAGCAGAGGTCAACCAGATAGGCAGCTATGCTGTCACCACTTAACCGAGAATTGACACTTTCTTCATGGAATAGAAATACTCCTGGTCCAAGTTGTGTGAATTTCAGAAATGGGAGAAACATGGATTTAACACAATAAAAGAATAATTATGGTAAATTTGGTTAGAGTGTATATTCTGTGGTAATGTTTCCCCAGACGTGAAACCCTGAACCCAAGTGCTGGGTATCTGTTTCTGGGTATCGGGGAGCAGGTCTTCCTGCTTAAAGTGGCCTTTTGGTATCCCAGAGGCAGAACCAGAGGCCATCGATGCCATCACCAAGTTCTTGGGGATGCCTGAACCCATAGACATTTAAGCAGCACCCCTGGGGACACAAAGAGAGCCAGGTGGGAGGTCATTGGGTTTAGTTGGGCAGAGGCTGAGACTTGGGCTTATCTGTATACCTGCTTCAGGCAGACTCTTGCATTTGACTCTGGATCCCCCTGGAGAATTCATAGGGCCCTCTGTGGAAGTCACATCCCTTTTCACTATTAGGGGCTTGTGTCAGTATCTGCTTTGCAGATCCTTGAAGATGGCAGAAGGTTCACTATACACTGGATTTCCTTTCTTTCAGCTTTCCTGACCAAATCCTCTATAATGCCAGTGTCATTAAGGACAATATCTGATCATTCCCAGTTTAGTCTTATCTTAGGAGTGATTGCTTCATAGGTCACCTGATCCCTCCCAGTGGGCAAAGTGCTGAGATTCTGGGACAGAACCAAAACCAACTTCCCTACAGTCTTTTTCCTTTCTTTTTTCTCAAGCCTGATTATACTGGTTAATAATGGGTTGGGTCTGGGTGTCCCCACAAGTCTTAATGTGGTCATGGGTTGCAGGCCTTTCAGAAGAGGCTAAATCTACAGCTTGTTTTTGGTTCATTGTCTCATGCTGGCATTGGGGATGTGAGTGCTGCACTTGCTGTGAGTGGGTAACCAGCATACAATCTAAGGGAAAGGGAGATTGACACTTCACCTTTTTGCCCTTTTGCTCTGTGGCTTTTGATATCTGCTGCAGCTCCCAAGGCTTTTGGTATCAGCCACACCACCTTTTTTTGGAGCCAGCTGAGTATGGACTGAAACCTCCACAAAAGGTAAGCTAAATAAACATTTCCTTCCATAATATTGGAGGTCAGGTATTTTGTCTCAGGCCAAGGCCAAAACCCATTCAGTTCAGAGTGACAGAAATCCCCAAACAAGAATGACATGGTAAGGAAGCGCTCAGAAATAATGGGAAAAGCAACACACTATGAGGTTAAAATGGTTCCTACTGGTCAAATTCATGCATCAAAGTAAATAAGAACAAAATAGAACAGAATAGAATAATAGAATAGAGTTCACTGCTGAATAAAATAGTTTATATAATTAAATAAATAAAGAAGAATAAAAAGCACCATTTGAGTGTCACTAATAAATGGGGAATGATGGAATTAGTAAATTACCAAATCACCACCAGAGTAATAATAACGATTCATTCAAGCAAGCATCATCAGTGAACATTAAAATTAATAGATACACTGTTTATAGACAGACTCAAAGGAGCTCTGTGTAAGTTACTT